GAGATGAGTTTTGCCCTTGTTGCCTAGGCTGGAGTGCAATGGCGTGTTCTTGGCTCACCGCAACCTCTGCCTCCCGGGTTCAAGCGATTCTCCTGCCTCAGCTTCCAGAGTAGCTGGGATTACAGGCATGCGCCGCCACACCTGGCTAATTTGTATTTTTAGTAGAGACTTGGTTTCTCCATGTTGGTCAGGTTGGTCTTGAACTCCCGACTCAGGTGATCCACCCGCCTTGGCCTCCCAAGGTGCTGAGATTGCAGATATGAGCCATGGCACCTGGCCGGAAATGGTGGCTTTATAAGAAGAGGAAGAGGTCAGGCGCGGTGGCTTACGCCTGTAATCCCAGCACTTTGGGAGGCCGAGGCGGGTGGATCACAAGGTCAAGAAGAGATCAAGACCATCCTGGCCAACATGGTGAAACCCCGTCTCTACTAAAAATACAAAAATTATCTGGGCATGGTGGCACGTGCCTGTGGTCCCAGCTACTAAGGAGGCTGAGGCGGAAGAATCGCTTAAACCCAGGAGGCAGAGATTGCAGTGAGCCGAGATTGCCCCACTGCACTCCAGCCTGGTGACAGAGCAAGACTCCGTCTCAAAAAAAAAAAAAAAAAGAAGAGAAAGAGAGACTGGAGCAAGCATGCTCAGTCCCCTCACCATGTGATGCCCTGTGCATCAGCAAGAAGGCCTTGATCAGATGTGGCCCCTTGAGCCTGGACTTCTCAGCCTCCATAACTTTAAGACATAAATTCATTTTCAGGTATTCTGAAAATGAATTTATGTTACCCAGTTTCCCAGTTTCAGGTATTCTGTTACAAGCAATAGAAAACAGACCAAGACATATATCAATAGTGTTGACATCTGCTAGATCCTTCTCAAACTTTAACATGCAAGGATTACTAAGGTTTTGTTAACATGACAGTTTCTATTCAGTTTGGGCTAGGATTGAAGATTTTGTATAGTAAAAAAGAGCTAGGATTCATGCAGTTCCCTTGAGTTCATTAAGATGTGCCTCGATGACTTCTTGCTAAGTAACTGAAAAGGAAAGAATAAGCCTCCAGGGCCATCCAGGTTTGCTTTTCTTCACTGCTGTAAAGTAAAACCTAAAAGTATGGCCGGGTGCAGTGGCTCACGCCTGTAATCCAAGCACTTTGGAGGCCAAGGCGGGCGGATCACCTGAGGTCAGGAGTTCAAGACCAGCCTGACCGACATGGTGAAACCCCATCTTAAAATAAAAACAAAAAAACAAAAACCTAAAAGTAAGTAATATTCTGTTAGAGTCAGGGCAAGGGGAATGAGCAGTCTGGAAAGAGAAGTCCTTTTTAGGTCAAAATATTTACTAAAATTGCTGTCTCCAACAATTAGGAAGGCTTAAATCTCCTTCCTAATTGTAGAAATCTCCCTTCCCAGCTTGTAGCTAGTGGAAGTTATCTGAAAAAAGCCAGCTTGTGTGTGTGGCTGCTTCTTGTTGTCTTTGGTAAGGTGTTGCAAGTAAAGTGTGAAGTCAAGTTAAAAAGGGAATAAAATGTCCAGAAATTCTGAGCCTTCACTAAGTTGAAAAAGCCAATTGTTTATATATCTTGAAATCACAGAAGAAAAGACTTGACTTAGAGATTTTTTGCAGCCCGTTAAGACTGCGAAACACAGTTGGCAAGCACAACCAACCAACCAACCAAACAAAAAAAACAGAAAGTAAAAGTAATCTAAAGCCAAATCAAACTGATAGAGTTCTCTTCACATTTAAGCCCTACTGTTTCAGGCTGGGCGCAGTGGCTCATGCCTATAATCCCAGCACTTAGGGAGGCTGAGGCAGGTGGATCACAAGATTGGGAGTTCAAGACCAGCCTGTCCAAGATGGTGAAACCCCGTCTCTACTAAAAACTACAAAAATTAGCCGGGCATGGTGGCGTGTACCTGTAATCCCAGCTACTAACTCGGGAGGCTGAGGCAAGGGAATCGCTTGAACTCGGGCAGCAGAGGTTGCAGTTAGCCAAGACTGTGCCACTGCAATCCAGCCTGGGCAACAGTGAGACTCTGTCTCAAAAAAAAAAAAAAATTAAGGCTACTGTTTCAAATTATTTCACAGCTGCCACCAATACAAAGAGGGCATTAAAAATACGTTGAGCAAAGAAGCTAGGATTTAAGGCAGGTTTAATAACTACTTCGAAAAATAACTTTGGATGTAGTTACTAGAATCTGAAATTGTCTGGAAGCGTGTAGAGCTTATTGAATATTTAATGGAATTATTATTATTTTTAAAAAACAAGCACCCAAAAAGCCTGGCCTACAAAAGCCCTCAACTGTTCAAGCCCTAAGGCATTCTCTTTTATCTATTTATTTTATAAGACGGGGTTTCACCATGTTGGTCAGGCTGGTCTTAAACTCTGGACCTCAGGTGATCCGCCTGCCTTGGCCTCCCAAAGTGCTAGGATTCTAGGCGTGAGCCACCATGCCTGGCCAAGGCAGTCTCAAAAAGGAAATACACTCAACATCCAGTTAACTTGTATTCAGAAGGTAAAGCTTGCACCCACATAATACAACAAACAATAGAAATCCTCTCAGCAGAACCAAGGTCTGACCAACGAACTTATTCCACTATCAGGGCAGTGAGTATCCAGACCTCCCTCCCAAGATTCTGCCATTGTTATGGACCAGTAACTGCTGTGTTTTCCATTCTTCCTTTGTCTCAGTGTTAATTTGATGTTGTTTTTTTGTTGAGATGGAGTTTCCCTCTTGTTGCCCCGGCTGGAGTGCAGTGGCGCCATCTTGGCTCACCAAATCCTCTGCCTCCCAGGGTCAAGCAATTCTCCTGCCTCAGCCTCCCGAGTAGCTGGGATTATAGGCATGTGCCACCATGCCTGACTAATTTTGTATTTGTTTTAGTAGAAACGGGGTTTCTCCATGTTGGTCAGGCTGGTCTTGAACTCCCAACCTCAGGTGATCCGCCCACCTAGGCCTCCCAAGTGCTGGGATTACAGGCGTGAGCCACCATGCCTGGCCTCTTCGTCTGACTTTTTACTGTGGTTGGCATGTTTCTGCTCCACTATTGTTTTGTATTACATGCATGGGCATAGGACACATCAATTGTTTTACAGTGTATACATCTCTGGACCATGAAACACCACATCCCACTGTGATAGGATTCTGCATCACTAGATATTTTGAATTTTTAGCTGATGTAGAAACTGAATGGAAAATTAAGCTTTCTTCCTTAGGGAGGGAGGGAGGGAGTAGGCTCTATTGTGAGGAGAAGGTATAATAGGGTTCTCCAGACAGACAGAACCAACAGGGGATATATATATGGATATGAAAGGGGAATTATTAGGGGAATTGGATCATGTGATATGTGATTGTAGGGGCTGAGAAGTCCCACAACAAGCAGTGTGCAAGTTGGAGACCCTGGGATGCTGGCAGCATGGCTCAATTCAAGTCCGAAGGCCTGAGAGCCCAGGGCACTGCTGGTATGAGTACTGGAGTCCAAAGGTCAGACAGCCTGATGTCCAAGGCCAGGAGAAGTGTGTTTCCAGCTCCAGGAGAGAGAGACCAGTTTACCTTTTCTCCATTTTTGTTTTATCTGGGCCGAGCTGACCGGATGGTGCCTGCCCACACTAAGGGCAGATCTTCCTCAGTCCACTCAGACTCACATGCCAACCTCCTGTGGAAACACTCTCACAGACACACACCAATACAATGCTTTAACAGTTAGTTTTCTTGGTATTACTTAATCCAATCCAGTTGATACCTAAAATTACCATCACAAGACATGTGGATATTTAGGTGGTCAGAGGGACATGTTGTAGGAGAGACTACTAATTGTCCCTCTAAACTCATTCTTTCCTTTTTCTGGGCACAAGGCTGCCCAACTGGAAACTAAATTTCTAGTCTCATTGGTGGTCATATGATTAAGTTCTTGTCAATGGAACATAATCTGAATTGATGTGGACGATCTCCACCTTCTTTCAGATGTGGTTTGGCTCTGTCTCCCCACACAAATTTCATGTTGAATTGTAATCCCCAAATGTTGGGGAAGGGACTTGGTAGGAGGTGATTGGATCATGGGGGTGGATTTTCCTCTTGTGTTTTGGTGATAGTGAATGAGTTCTCATGAGATGTAGTTGTTTGAAAGTCTGTAGCACCTCCCTTTTTGCAGTCTCTCTCTCTCTTCAGTCATCATGTGAAGACATACTTGCTTCCCCTTTGCCCTTCCACCATGATTATGTTTCCTCAGGCTTCCCGAGCCATGCCTCCTGTAAGGCTGTGGAACTGTGAGTCACTTAACCCTCTTTTCTTTATAAATTACCCAGTCTCAGGTAGTTCTTTATAGCAGTGTGAGAACAGACTTATATATATGTGTGTGTATATATATGTACACAGTGCAGTGGTGCAATCTCAGCTCACTGCAGCCTCCGCCTCCTGAGTTCAAGCGATTCTCCTGCCTTGCCTCCCAAGTAGTCAGAAGTGTAGGTGCCTTCTGCCGTGCCTAATTTTTTGTGTTTTTAATAGATACAGGGTTTCACTATGGGCCAGGCTGGTCTCGAATTCCTGACCTCAGGTGATCTCCCTGCCTCGGCCTACCAAAGTGGTGGGATTACAGGCGTGAGCCACCGCATGTGGCTGAGAACAGACTAATATACATTCTTTTTTTTTTTTTTTTTTTTTTTTTT